TACTCTGGGTGGGCCTGAGTTGTCTCTCCTCACCTGTAACCCTGGGGCTGACTGCTCTTCTGTCCGGGTTCAAGGCTTTTATCCCCTTTCTTCTACTCTTCCGGCCTGCTACTCTGGGCGGGCCTGAGTTTCCCCTCCTCACCTAATCCCTTCGGCTGATTGCTCTTCTCTCTGGCTTCCTGGATTTTATCTCCTTTTTCCTGCTCTTCCAGCCTGCTACTCTGGGCGTCCCAGAGTTGTCTCTCCTCACCTGTAACCCTGGGGCAGTATAGCTTAACTAGCCAAAAATGTCTGCCTTGAGCATTACGCTCATTTAAGAGGTATCTATATGGGATCAATTTGACAACAGCAACTTGAAAAGACAGAAAAGTTAGTGAGTTTATGTTAATGGGGGAGGAGCAACTCAGAAAAGGAGGGTGAGAATGGTTGCACAACTCAAGAGTGTCATCAGCGTCACTGAATTTAAGTGTGGAAACTGTTGAACCGGTCTATGTTCTAGTGTGTATATTCTCAACAACAAAATACATATAAAACAACAAGAAAAAGTTTAAAATTAGAACCTAATGGTACCCACATTTCAAGTAGGCTAGTTCTTTCACCTGTGAAAAGAGTGTTTATGATGACATCCCTTTGGAACATTTAAAGGGGAAGGGAGTGAATGACCCAAATGATCCAGGTTTGGAAGTAACTAAAAAAATAAAAAAAGAGGATGGCAATTAAGTTACCAATGGCAGAGTCCAAGACGAAGACAAGAAAGAGGAGACCAATTGTTCCAGTGATGTGGATGGAGTTGGAAAGCCGAAAGATTTCACAATAAGGGAAGAAAAGATCCAGTGGAATATTAGACTGATTAAGTCAGGGTCAGTTTTTTTATACAAAATTGAATATCTGACAACTAAAGCTTAAGTCTAGAACAAAACAGTGAGTGGGCAATCTGAAGATGGGCATGGTGAAGACAGGGCAGAAAGGAAAATAGCCAGAGGGTTCACGTTCCCAAAGATAATGGCAGCCGAGGGGGAAACACAAGGCAGGTGCTCTGCTGCTCCTAACACTCAAGGCCAGGGCAGAGCCACTTTAGGGACAGCCACCAAAACACCTTGGGAGGACAGAACACGGCTCCGAGGGTACACCAGACCCACTTCTAGGGTGTCTTTAGTAAATTTCTCAACTGTTGGGTTGACAAGAATTAACCAAGTTAATAGTTTAAGTTCATACAATAGTCCTAGAAAGCAACAGCTGGCATTTGAGTGCTGTTTTTTTTCATCTAGAATAGTGCTTCTGGACCACCAGTCTAGGACAGTGAGGCAGACATTTAGTCCCCGGCGTGTACTTGCTCAGCACCTTTGTTCTCATCACCCCTCTTCTTCGGTCTTGCTCCTGGGGTAAATGGTAGCATTTAGAGTTCCCAATTTTGAGTGCAATGTGATGACTGTATCCTTATTTCAAGCAGTAAGAAATATGTTCACATTTTACATAGTGATCCAGTACACATATGGCTTTATGTAGATGAAACAGAAGTTGGCTAAACCAAATTTAATTTGCTGGATGGGGTGCGCTATTTATTTTGCTCCTCTAGTGTATTTCATTCTTCAAAAAGCTGGTCATGACCCACTACATTGATTTCATGACCTTTCTCATGGACTGCTATTCCTAGTCCTAGTTTTAGTCAAAACCACTAAAGAGAAAAAAGGTGACTTATGACCTGATTACCAGAAGGCTGGCGGTTCAAACCCACCAGCCACTCCTCGGAAGGAAGGTTAGGCAATCTACTTCCATAGTGATACTGCCTCGGAAACCCAAGGAGGGGTCGCTATGAGTCAGGGCTGACTCGATGGCACATAACAACAACAACAACATGACCTGATTACAATTTGAGGCAAACACACAATGAGGTCAGCATTTCCCTTTGCTCTAGTCTATACTTACTAGTTATCTTCATTTGCTTTCCAAACCCTGGAAAGAAAGTGAGCTACACAAGAACCCAATGCCAAGATCCCATCATTCACGTTAATCTCACTCTTTCTGAAGTAATACTTCTTGTTCCAGATCAGCATATCCACACTGTGATACACTGCAATGTCATACTAATTAAAACTGGACAGCATCTTCATTGCCCCAAAGCCTCCCAGATCTGTGAACTCCAATTGGCCCAGACTCTGGAGATCAACTCTTTAGTCAAGGCAAACCTTCTTGTCATGGAAAATTGGAATCTTGCCTTATTCTAAACAAGACAACGATTTGCAATACTCAACTAAACATGATGACTCAGCATGGAAGTTTAGTTCAATATGATTTTATTCAAAAATCTGCCAAAGCTGAAGGAGGGATCTGATCTTTTGTTAGAAGAAAGCAATTCTCATAGTATGTATTTAGCCTTTTTAGCTTTGTGTTGAATGACAATTGAAGAGGACATTTCTGTTCAAGATCCTCACTCCAGCACACTCAGCCAGGGGCTCGGGATCTTCTGACAAGTAACACATTCCCTGGACTGAAGCTCATAGGAAATAAACACTCTCACCCAGGAAAGCCCAGTTCTTCCCTAGACACATACATGAGCTCTTATCTTCATAGCTCTGCAGAGGGCCCTAGGAGTCCTTCATTTTCAGGGTGAGAGGAATGTGACAGGATTCCATAAGCAACGCCTACAACAAATCCAACCTCCTATTGACAATTGCAAGTATAAAATACTTGGAATTTAGAAGATGTTCCATATTAAATGGAACAAGTCAAATGTTAAAAAAATTAGGTCAAGTAACATGCTTCAAAGTTTAAAAGTGTTACTTAATAAAACTTAATGAGACAAGATAGACAGCACTTTCTTATAGTTGGTATTATAGACTCCTACTGACAGTTGCTACTTGATGTTTAAAAAGTAAAAAGAAGAAACCACACTTTATTACATAATGTTGCCTGCAGGGAATGTCATATTTAAGCCTTACTCCTGAAGTTAAACCAGGAAGAAAAAAAAAGGTCTACAAAACCAACACCCATGTTATTTTAAATGAGGTAGACTTTTTTTCCTATGTAATAAGGTGAAGATAACAAAAAAATGCATATAATTTTCAAATCCTCTTTTTTAAAAAAAGTTCAGATAATAGTCACTTTCACAAACAAGACATTTATAAGCTGTGAGATGGAGAGGTCACACTCAGCAAAGTTCTGTGCTTGATGTGTTGTTACTTGCAGACTCAACAATCAGTCTTGGATCAATCAAGTCTCTCCAAAAAACAGTGATCTGAGGAAAAATACAAAATACCCATTAATTTACAGACTTCATTTTGAAGTCACATCCAAAACCCAAACCAAATCCATTGCTGTCAAATCGGTTCTGACTCATTGTAACCCTACAGGATAGAGTAGAACTGTCCCACAGGGTTTCCCAGGCTGTTAATATTTTTGGAAGCAGACTGCCACATTTTTCTCCCTTGGAGCAGCTAGTAGGTTTGAATTAGTAACCTTTCAGTTAGCAACTGAAGACTTAGCCACTGAGCACCAGGTCTCCTCTTTGAAAGTTAAAATCTTCATTTAAATACATTTCTATTTGTACAGAAAGATAGTTGAATCCTAGAATAAACTGAGCTCAATTACAGCAGAAGAACTCACCTAAAATTCAGCTAAATTTTACATTAAACGTATTTCATCTTCTTTGATTTAGAGCAAGGGATGGGGGAAGCTGGTTACAAAACAATCGGGACACGCCCCACCAAACTCCTGGTAGACAGGTGGCTCGCAAACCTCCTGGGAGTTAGAGTGACCCGGACAGATTATCACTAGACTGCTGATGTCCTTTTTTTGCAGGTCTGTAGTTCTGATTCTACTGCCTAGATGCAGGAGGTATTTCACGTTTTATGAGGAGAAAGTAAACCCTTAACACTTGGTTTTCTGGATGAAGGAAGGCCATCTAGTATCAAGAAAAAGTAATCATAAGCTTCCTATTGTACTTCAAGTCGTTTAACAGGCCAGAGAGGAGAGCCTCCAAGGTTTAATTTCCCAATGCAGTTTCCAGGGACAGATTACATTTAAAAAGTGGGGCTGCATAAATTGATAATCTGCCCTTCAGGCCTAGAATTGAACTCACTCCCATGGCTTACCTTCAGCCAAACAATAAACAGACTATATACCAGGGAAGTGCCTCCTTAGAACAATAACCATGGGAGATCAGAAGGTAGCATTTATGCACGGAGAAAGTTCAGATGGCAGGAATGCATAGGAAAGAAGGACATAGGGAAAAGGTAACCACAGGGAAGAAGTGGGAAGAGAGCTGTTACATTGTGGAGACTGCAATCAATGTCATGAAATAAAGTGTGTATGAACTGTTGAATGGAGAGTGAATTCACTCTGTAAACTTTCACCCAAATCACAATTAAAAGTTTTTGGGGAAAAAAAAAAGACATGAAAATCTGCCTAATGCAAACTCTAAAAATATGTTTCTGCAATAAATCCTTGAGTGTGTCTTCTATTCTAGACGAAATAAAACGGAGACTGGTTAGGATTTCTACAAGTCTGCATTTTAGATAAAATGTGAGCTTACAATACTAAAACTTACAGAATAATATCCATTAACTTCAAATGTGTAACATCTTAAGAGAAAGTATTTCCTTAAATATAAATTCTATTTACTTTAATGTTAGCACAGCCTAACAAGCCAGGCACTGCCAGCAACCCTGGCAGCCCAGGATGCCTGGAAACAGTCTAAACTGTATGTAATACTTTCTAAAATGACAATATAAGGATTTCCACAAAGTCAAGTCAGAACTGTTATTTTATGTCCTCCAAAGCTCTCTTCCCACTTCTTCCCTGTGGTTACCTTTTCCCTATGTCCTTCTTTCCTATGCATTCCTGCCCTCTGAACTTTCTCCGTGCATAAATGCTACCTTCTGATCTCCCATGGTTGTTGTTCTAAGGAGGCACTTCCCTGGTATATAGTCTGTTTATTGTTTGGCTGAAGGTAAGCCATGGGAGTGAGTTCAATCACGACAGCATTTGCAGGGAGGATGTGACAGGAAGGAGACGTGACAGGGGCTTCTGGGAGGCTTCTCATGTTCTATTTCTTGATATGGGTAGTTATGTAGGTATATTCATTTGTGAAAATCGTTCAAGCTGTACACTTATGATATGTGTACCTTCTGAATGTCAGAAAACAAACAAACATACACACTCACTGCTGTTGAGTCGATTTGACTCATAGCGACCCCTCCTTGGTTTTCCAAGGCGGTATCTCTACGGAAGTAGATTGCCCAATCTTCCTTCTGAGGAGTGGCTGGTAGGTTTGAACTGCCAGCCTTCTGGTTAGCAGTAAAATGCCTTAGGCACTACACCTACAGTTCCATAAAAAGCTTTAAAAACACACTACTCTTCAACTGGGGTCTTAAAAGCTTGCAAGTGGCCATCTAAGATACAACAATGAGTCGCTCCTTGTCCAGAGCAAAGAAGACTGAAGAAAACCAAACATACATGGAAACAATTAGTCTGAGGGACTAGTAGACCATGCAAACCTAAGCCTACATGACCCTGAGACAGAAGAACTAGATGGCGCCCAGCTACCACTGTCAACCACTTGGAAAGGGATCAGTGTAGGAGATCCTGGATAGAGTGCGAGGAAAATGTGATACAAAACTCAAACTCACAAACAACACCAGGTTTACTGGTCTGATAAAGACTGGTGAGACACCCAAGGCTGTGGCCCCTAGTCACCCTTTGGCCCTAGAATTGAACTTACTCCCTTGGCTTCCAGCCAAACAATAGGCAGGCATATAGGGTAAATATTTACACCAGGTAGGTACACTCATTATATCAACCATGGGAGATCAGAAGGGTAGCAGCTGCACAGAGAGACAGCTCAGAGGGCAGGAATGAATAGGAAAGAAGGACATAGGGAAAAGGTAACCACAGGGAGGGAGTGGGAAGAGAGCTGTTACATTATGGGGATTGTAAACAACATCATGAAACAAAATGAGTATGAATTGTTGTATGGAAAATGAATTTCCTCTGTAAACTTTTACCCAAATCACAAAAAAAGAAAAACGCTTCTCTTTTCTCCAGGAAGCCTATAAAAATCCTCCTATAATTTTAAGTAACTCTACTCTCTTGAACAAGCCTTTGTTATTTGTGCACCTTGCCATGTAGGCTCTTTAAGGTCCAACACAGGGCCTAAATTTGCCATTTGGTATTAGTTTGCCACATCCTAGGCAGACCAGAGTCCCCAGGGCCTAGATCCTTCACAGTTTTCATACAGGAAGTTCAGGAAGTTGCAGTGTCACCTTCCGGACCACAGGTAATCAGCCAAGAGCGAATGTATGACCAAGAAGTCCCGAGAAGAGAAGGCGGCCTACCTTCTTCTCCTGCGTCACAGCATACTCCACCACCTCAGTTCCATTTTCGTTGTGATAAACCAAATCAAATTTTCCAGGTTCTTTCATGGCTGAAACCAGAAGGTAAGGAGGAGAGACAGTAAGTCATTTCCCAGTGATTAAAATGTTCCTCTGCACGGGATTTACATCACTAGGAAAACCACCACAAATAAATGGTCAATTGATGTGAAGGCTGGGTCTGTACATGAAAGCAAGCAGCGCTCGGAAGACCTAGAAAGCCCCCCATCAGCAGATCGGAGCTTCCTGGCTGTTTGCCAGAGGCAAACGTTCTACCATCAGAAAGAAATGCACTTGATAACTGTCACTAGTATGCCTAGAATACAGACCACAATGTCTCAGCTATTTTAATCTCAAAGGATAATTTCTATGCTTCAATAAGGACAGGTAACATAAAATGTTATAAAATTCTTACATCTTGCTCTGTCCTCAGAAATTATACATACTTATTACTTAATAATACAAGCAGTCCTCATTTCTAAGGTAGGGTGAGAACGTAAAAATAACCATGCAAAACAATCTAAATAATTAATGAGAAAAACCCTAATTGCTCTACGGTCTTTAAAATTTTTTGTCAAAACACTAAAATACTCTTGCAGTATAGGGAAATGAAAAATATAAGAAAACTAATATTTATGGGCCACACTGTAATTTAAAATATTAGAAACCTTGAGAACTGAAGTGTTTTACTTCTTGATAAAAAACTTATTAAGGGTATCCGAATAGGGCTTGCTTTCTTGTTACATAACTTACACGCAGAGCAGGCATCTACTACTCCATGCCTTGGGGAACGGTCATGCTCTTTTCTAAGTTTGGATCAGCTTCCAACATTTTCTCTCTTGCACTTTTAATGTCCTAAAATACCTCCCCAACTTTTCTTTAATGTGAAGTTTTTTGTGAGCATCACTTCCTCTGGACATCTTCATTCTTTTTGTCACAACCACTTTTCTCACTGATGTAAGTTCACACACAACAGCAGTGTCAGCATTCCCACAGTTAACTGTTTCTTCTAAACTCCATTTCCATTCAACTCCAATTTTACTTCCAGCATTGTCACTTTTTGTTTCTTGGCTGAGCTTTCATCTCTGTTGGCCAATTCCCCCTTTCAATTATTCCCTCTTTCAATTTTGTCAAATGTTATGTGAGATGATCACTGACAGTCAAGGAGGCAACACAACTACATGGGCTGCTGTCTGTGCATGAACTGAGTAACAGATGTATGGTGATCAAGCACTGACAGATGTTGAAAGAAGTAATGTGATTGTTTACTGATCACAATGTGCATCTGTCATGTATGTAGCGATTTGTGGGCTGAAGAGCTAGCAGTACTTTATTTGATTACTCATGTTAACATACTTTGGTAACTAAATTTGAACTAAGTTGTTGTGGGACTGGTATTAAGTAAACCATTGTAAATGAAAGTCATGCATGCTGGAACTATGAAGAGTAAAGAATGCCTGTATTTCTAGTAGAGAACAGGTAAAGCAATTTCTTGGTGCCCTAAGGAAGAAAAGTTCTAATCGGATGTCATCACTGCCAATCATCTGACCAGCAGTGATCAAGCTGTGTCCATGGTGCTCAACCCCAAACTTATCTGTTCAATGTTCCTGAGGGGATTTCTACAACTGAACCTAATCAGAAGCTAGAAAACCAGTGTAAGTTATAGCTAATTCTTTACTTAATATCGTGAAGGGAATTTGGTGAAAAACCTTTTGGTTGGTTTCTGCTTATTGGAGTTTTTAATCTTTTACTCACTACCTTATTTAAAAACAAAGAGAAAATAATTCAGTGCTTTATGGTCTGGCAAAGAAAAAGAAATCTCCCCTGCTCTCTGGTCAGGGATCTCTCAAACACATTCCAAAATTAAATCACAGACAATTCAAAAAAAAAACCAAAAACACCTCACTGCCATCTAGTCGATTCTAACTCACAGCAACCCCTATTGGGTTTCCAAGGCAGTAAATCTTTATGGAAGTAGATTGCCCCACTGTCTGTCCGTGGAGTACCTGGTGGGTTTGAACCAGTCTATCTTGATTGGGTCATAGCAACCCCTATTGAGTTTCTGAGGCAGTAAATCTTTATGGAAATAGATTGCCCCATTGTCTGTCCATGGAGTGGCTGGTGGGTTTGAACCAGCTAATCTTGACTGGTTAGCAGTCAAATGCCTTAGGCACTATGCCACCAGAGCTCCTTCATATACAATAAAGGCCCTCCTATATCAAGATTTCAGAATCAATCATGAGTCAAGTTAATCAGGAATAAAGCAGGGAATGATTTAAAATAATGTTTGTGTCTAAGTGTGTACACTCATACACTTTAGACATTTTATTTTAACATAACACACAAAAGTATGTTTCCTTATCAGTCTTCTGAAATAGGACTGAGTAGTTCTAAGAAGTATGAGACCACTGATTACAGTCTTTCTTTTATAGATCAGACCCCTAATCTATCAGCTACAGTTTCCACAATTTCCAGTTTTGTTTTTTTAAAAGTGATGCAAGAATGCAGAAATTTGGAAGGCAATCTGAATATAGAATCCTCATTTTATAGAATTTTTCTCTTTTACAGCTGACCTGCCTACACATAATAGCAATGTTTTTTTTTTTTAACAACACTCCTGAGTCAGTGTTTGGGTTTCACAGACATAATTCTTTTTTTAAAAAAACTTCTTATGGTGATTTGGGTGAAGTTACAGAGCAAATTCATTTTCCATTCAACAATTCATACCTATTTTCTCTGGTGACAGACTGCAATACCCACAATGTAACAACTCTCTTCGTTCTTCCTCCCTGTGGTTACCCTTTCCCTGTGTCCTTCCTTCCTATGCATTCCTGCCTCCTGAGCTTTCTCCCTGCACAAATACTGCCCTTGTAATCTCCCATCGTTGATTTTTCTAAGGACTGATCTCTGGTGTAACTGGTCACTTTGTAGGCCTGCCTATTATAGGCCTGCCTATTATTTAGCTAATGGTTAAGCCATGGGAGTGAGTTCAAGTCCAGGCCCGAAAGTTGGGGCCATAGTCTCAGGGGTTTCACCAGTCTCTATCAGGCCAATAAGCCTGGTGTTTTTTTATAATTTTGAGTTTTGTCCTACATTTTCCTCCCACTCTATCCAAGATCTCCAGTTTCAACCCCTTTCTGAGTGGCTGTCATAGACATGACTCTTTTTTGCAATCAATTTTCATCAGTTTACATAATTCATGAAATTATGTAATTACAGTAACAAGAACTACTAGCCTAACAGCTTTGGGAACAAATGCAACAGGCTTTCAGCAGACACGCAATTCCACTCGCAAGAGTGGAGGTGCGAGCCCCGGGGCCGCAGCTGACAGAGGAGTGGAGAGTTCATCACGGGGAAGCACACCCTGGACATGAAGCCGTTTAGAAACTGCTGCAGACGGAGGAGTCTCTTTTCAAATACTTTTCTAAAAAACTCACCAGGTAAGGATGAAAGGATTTCTATATCAACTTGCTGGGTCTCTGGATTGTGGCTTAATATTTTTCCTTCCTTTCAAAAATAAAAGCCAAGTCAAAAATCAGTAAGTCCACAGTGAATATACTAAAAACCACCAAAATATACACTTATGAATGGTTAAAGTGGTGAATTTTATGTTATGTGAATTTTATTTCAATAAAAAATTTAAAAATAAATCAACATGTAGGGGAGATAATAAACATGTGAATGGATAAAACTTCTATCTGAATATACAGAAATCCCCTCAGAAGCAAAATAACAAGTTATTATGGAGTCAACTCCAATTCATGGCAACCTCATATGTGTAGAAGTATTCCATTGGGTTTTTAACAGTTTATCAGAAGTAGATCACCAGGCCTTTCTTCCGAGGTGTTTCTGTGAAGACTAGAACCTCTAATTTTTGGTTAGCAGTTAAGCCTATGAACAGTTTACAACCCCCCCCCAGGGGCTCCTAGAGGCAAAATGTTGTTGTTGTTGTTAGCTGCCACTGAGTCAGCTCCAACACACAGCAACCCTACGTACAACAGAATGAAACACTGCCCAGTCCCATGCCAGCCTCACAGTTCTTGCAAAATAGTTACACAGAAATCATAAATGGCAGCCACTGACCAGAAGGACTAGAAGAAAAATAAAGGTTATACAAGTGCACTAGTTACCAAAAGTGACTGATGAAGGGAAGAGGAGGACAAAAAACATGGTAGGATGCTGTATTTTTCAAATGAGGAACCACCATCCCAATATTCACCATAAAAAGAATACATGT